ACAGAACCCTTTCTACGATGGAACTTTCCTGTACGACTGAGAGCCTCCACAAGCATCGAATTCTAAAAAAAAAAAGAAACCAAAAAGAGTGGGCCTCATCATGCAGTAAGTTTCTCAGAAGTACAGTAAAAGTTCATGAGTTATTAAAGAGCAATCTAGCATTTTCCCTCAATGCTTGCAGCTCAAGCCAATTGGTTAGGAAAAGAGACCAAAAGGCAAGAATAGGACCTAACACCTTCGATGTGAATGAGCAAGGCACATTCCTCGCCCAGTGTTTCTTTTCTCACAACTCTACCCAAACTCAACCCATCTGGTCCTCCCCCACCAATTTTCTTGTCCTCCTTTCCCTCGCTACAGCCCACTCTATGCCGTCTCCAGCCACTGCGGTGACTGCAGCCGATCCCATTAGCCAGATGAGCAAACCTCCAATGGAGGAGAAAGCATAATGACAACACCAGAATTGCTCACACACATTTCTCCCCTCACCATTACTCCTGCTCCGTCTGCTCCTTCTGTTCATCGTCACTCTCAAGGGCGTGAGGGAGTGAGGTTGGCATGCCGATGTGTGCCATTTTTAATGGTTTGCTATTTAACGGCGGGGTGGGAGACTATACTATATAGTCTAATTTATGTTAACTATTTATTTGTGCACGTTGCTCTATCTGTGTCGGCCCCTGCAGCTCAAGATTCTCTGTTGCCCTGCTTTCAAAATACACACACTCTAGTTATAATGTAGTTTACGGTTCACCAAATACCGGATTTCATGGAGCTTTAGCACTGGCACTCGCAAATAAACGTTTAGAGCTCATCCTGAACTGAAAACATGCAGTTGTGATACATAAAGGTACTCTGAGTAAAAGCCTGTCCCAAAGCGTATACTTTGATTCTTTCATTTTTGATTTTGCATTTGCAGAGCGTAGTTGAGTGGTTTTCCGCTTCTTATCTGATCACAATATGTAAATGTTTTTGCACTTTTAGCCTGGAATCCCGTGCTATTGTAGGTTTGGAATATAGGAGGCTCTCAATCCCACCCATTACCCTTCAGGGTCATTACCTTTGTTAATGGGAGGACAGTGTCTTTTCATCTCCCTAACTAGGCTCATTAAAATCCATTCAGCTAATGAGCCCTCATTCCTTCACTAATTCAGGCCTACTGGTTGATCTGTACATTCTGCTGTTACTCCATTACTGCAAATGTACTTGCTGACGCATGTACATGTCATCAGGCAGGAGGGCTCCACCTTTTAGGTGACTGGAAAGAAGGCAAAGTGGGGTGATAAGATGTTTCATGTAAAATGTAGATGAAAAGGCAGACTACAGTTGGCAACAGGGACGTTAATACTGTCCAAGTTAACTAGGTGGGAGGATTCTGTCCAACGTTTGCCGCTTTGTGCATTAAAATAGATGAAATGTTTGCCAAGAATTCATCATGTGGAAGTAATTATTCAGCAATTATTTCTTGTGGCACTTGGAGTCCATTCAGCCTCACTGAGTTCGTGGTCTAAAGAACACAACCATGAAGTCAGTGAAGGTGAGATACACCCATGAAGACCAGTCCTACGGTTGCATGATTCTACTCCAACAAGCCCGGTGTTGAATCACATTCAGACATAATGCAAACATATCTAGCCTTTCAAATACACTTTGCATACATAAACTGTCAGTCTTGGGCTATAAGGCTATAGCTCTAACTGTTTAACTCTTGTGTCTTACTATAGAGAGTAGGTCCACTTGGGGGGGCTGCTTATCTTGTGTAGTTATGAGCAGCAGTTGTGTACTTCCCATCCATTATTTGATCCACTTATCCTCAGGAGGGTCGCGAGCATGTTGGAGCCTATCCCAGCTGACTTCGGGCAGTAGGCTGGGTATACCTTTAACCGGTTGCCAGCCAATCGCAGGGCACACATAGACGAACAACCATCCGCGCTCACACTCACACCTAGGGACAATGTAGAGTGTTCAATGAGCCTGCCAAGTATGTTTTTGGAATGAAGGAGGAAACTGGAGTACCCGGAGAAAACCCACGCAGGCACGAGGCGAAGACGCAAACTTCACACAGGAATAGATGTGTTAACCAGTCAACCACCGTGCAACACTGCTTACTTTCAATGATTAATAAAATGAATTTACTAACACGAGCACAAAAAAACATTGGTTGATGATGCCCATTCTCCACTGGATCTAAGTACATTATTTCAACAATGTGTGTAAATGTACACAATTAGATTGCATCTTAAATTCTGGGTATATTGAATTTGTTTTGCAACGCATAATCTACCAATTCAATCCTCCTTTACCTTTTGCCATCAATTGCATTCAGTGCAGTGCTTTGTTGGCAGGACCTTCAGGGTACTGTTGACAACCTCTTCCGATTCCACATCTGTCATACAAATGGAAAATAAAATCGTTGCGGAAACAACATGCCTTGAGCCTCAGATGGATCCTCACAATGGGTGTGGGGCGTCTGTCCCCCACAGCACATTAAAAGAGTGCACCCAGCAGAGTAGGGCACAAGAGCAGACCAGCGTTCTGTCATCCGAGGGAGAAGATTTAACTATAATGCATAAATAAATTATCCCCTTTTTCTTTTAGTGACTCTTATTACCACATTGGACTAGACTGAACCAGACAACTTTCCATTTGTTTTCATTCATTCATTGTCTTGTTCTCTCGTTTCTTGCTAATTCCACGATTGAGACTTTGAGAGCTCACAGTTAGGTCCGGTGACACAGTGGTCGACTGGTTAGCGCGTTGTCCTCACAGTGCAGGTTCGATTCTGGCTCCGGCCTTCCTGTGTGGAGTTTGCATGTTCTCCCCGTGCCTTCGTGGGTTTTCTCCGGGTACTGTGGTTTCCTCCCACATTCCAAAAACATGCATGGTGTCAGGTGTCCGGAATGCTCCGAACAGAATTAGGTTCCACAAACGCAGGCACGGACAAGAAATTGGACAAAAATAAATAAATAAAATATTATATATATATATCTATATATATATATAGATATACACACACACACACACACGCACACAAAAGAACGCAAGACCGACAAAGTACAACGAAGGACGCTGGTAACAAATAACCAGAAGAAAATGAAAGCAAACCCAAAGACGCCTGCAAAAGCCAAGGAAGGGGAAATTGCTTGTCAAACTCAAAAGACAAAGAAATCCAATACGCGAGAATGCAAATCGAAATATAACAAGAACTACATAATTGAAAAGATATTTGGAAAAATGGTAATGAGAAACTAAGAGGGGGAAAAATGTCAAGAACGTCTAGTAAATTAAGCAAGTGGAGGCAGAGTCGTGAGCAAGACTAATAATCCAAGCCAGTTGTCTGTGAAGCAGAGTATAGATTGGCAGCTGGTAACGAGGGCATGATTAGCCTCAGGTGCGGCTCAAGAGGGAACGCCCACTCTCTAGCTGGAGATTGAAAAAACAAAGCAGATCATGACACATGGCAGGTTAAATGGATGGATGGAAGTTAGGTCCAGATGGCCTCCATGGCATTGTTGTCAGGTGGTACTGAATGTAATCAACTACAGTATTTTTCTCGTGGCCTATCCTTAGGCTAAGGTACACTCAGTAACCAACACTGGTACCAACATTAGGTACCATATTTTCCGCACTTTAAGGCCACCTAAACACACTCAATTTTCTCAAAAGCCGACAGTGTGCCTTATAATCCAATGTGCCTTATATGTAGATCAATATTCTGATTTCTTCAATGTAGTATTTTAAATGTTCTGGAAAGCACTTTGTTCCAGCTGCAGCGGTTGTGAAAGCTCTACGTAAATAAAGCTGTATTGTGTTGTACTGTATTGTATTCCCTTTAGCGTAGCTTCATCTAGTGGATGCATAACGCAATCGCAGCCATGACTGTAGCTTCTATTCTATGCGCCTTATAATGCGGTGCACCCAATATATGAAAACAGTTTTAAAATAGAGCAGTCATTGAAGGTGCATTGTTCGGGTTTGTATGTAACCCCAAACGCACGACAACAGACAAGGATGCCATTAGCCAAACCTTGGCGTAGTTTATTGGCCTTGCAAAGTCAACTCAGGAGAATTCAAACTGAAAACTTATTTCGCATTCAAGCGAAAGCACAAAGAGTCCACGGTGAGAAAAGAACAATGGCATTATAATAAAGAAACAAAGCAAAATGGAATTATATGAAAAAAAGACAAAATATGTCCTTTTCAAAAATAAAAACACTTTTTTGTTTCTTTACTTTATTTGCCTTTTATTTAACCTACACATGTGTCAGATCGTTTTGCCTGACCCTGTATAAACTTGTGAGAGAACTCATGTTCTCGTACGTTCTGGAATATAGTATTGCTTTTAAGAATAAATAAGAGGAAGCGCCTTCCAGAGGCATGGATGGAATTTCAAAAGCTCTCACGATTGTGGCCACAGAGACACCTTTTCATTTATTTGTATGCTTTCTCCAAAAACAGCCTCCTTTGTGTGTTTCCTGTATCTTCCACCTTAGGGTTCTCCATAACTACATGCTGTGGCGCATTGTGGCAGCGCTCAGTGAACATCTGTCAACCGCCTTCCGAAGCACCATCCATGAGTTTTCCCGAGAGATTGATGGCACCGAGCAGCAGCTGGAGCTGGGCAGACTGTGCCTCACCCAGGCCAACAAACACTTTGGCATGGCCTTGGGAGCACTCTTTGTCCAGCAGCATTTCTCCTCACAGAGCAAGGCAAAGGTAAGAATGCAAGCCGGGGAGCGACTGAATGGAACAATGAATGCATACATGGTGTTGCGTGTCGCTTGTTACGTCAGCAATGCACAAAATGTGAGCTACTTTCCACTGATTGCTTGGATTGAGCGCTTTTGGCTTTGAGAGGAAACTGGACAGTGTCAAACCATAAGCCTTCCAAGGCAATAGGAGGAAATTTAAAAGCGGACCTTGGCCTCAGGTGTCTTATTAAGGTTTATTGCTGAAAACACATTTGTTCACATCCTAATTCGAACATTGAGTCAGGTAAGGAATTAATGCAAATTTCTATTGAATGCATTTTTTTGTTACATATCAGCATAGGTTTCAAAAACAACCCGATGATTTTTGATGGTTTGCTGAGCTCCAATCTAAAAATTCTATCATGGGCCCATCATCATGCTCTCTAAACCAGTTCACACTAATCCCACACCTCTGGCCCTGTGTCACCTATGGTCCGTTTTTCTCCAATTTTGATCCCTCCACATTGCTATCCTTATCTCAGTCTCTCGGCCATTCTAGAACATGAGGGTATAGTTCCCAATGTTTTTTGTATAACCTCTGCAACAACAGTCTCGGACCTAGCCTGTGAACACAACGCTTATGTTGAGATACGATTTGCAAACTTGTTAAAAACATATATATCACTTCTTAACCACACATAACATTGTTTTCACATTTCACATGGTAAATCCTAGTTAAAAGAATTGGGTATTCAGTCTATACATATTGACTACATGTAGTACTCTGTTTTTACTCTGAAATGAATTGAACATGATGAAATTATGACCTATTTAAACCCACGTAGTTGTCAATACTTTCTGGGAGAAATCTGGGCTCGACTGCCTCATCGTAAGTCAGGTGGATTTCAAGTTAGTCCAGAAACATGATCCTGTGCCGTATATTGTACATGTTGTGTTTATTCATCACCGTTTTCTCTATTTTCTTTTTTACCGGTAGTTTTCGATGTGGATAAGCACAGACTTGGTCATATTTTTATGATTTTTAGGGACTCTTGACTGGTGCTTCAATGCTACAAGTAACTGATTATTACTTTTTATACTTCTACCACTGTCTTTGATCCTGCCTGGAGGAAATCAAAGCCTGGATGGCACTAAATTTCTTGAATTTCAATGAAAAGAAGACAGAAGTGATAGTGTTTGGTCCCAATGGCCCTTGTACATACCATCCTGTAGACTTGGGCCCCCTGACTCCTTATCTTAAGTCACCAGTCTCAAACTTGGGTCTTAACCTCGACAGTGATTTTAAATTGGACCGGCAAATTGGTGCCGTTGTCAAATCCAAGTCCTTTCATCTTAGGCGAGCTAGCTAAAGAAAGCCTTTCCTTTCTCAAGAGCACTTTGAAACAGTAATTCATGCCTTCACATCCCGGCTGGATTACTGTAATGCACTTTACTTTGGAGTCAGCCAATCCTCCATTAAGCGTCTCCAGTTGGTCCAGAATGCTGCCGCTCGCCTCTTGACTGGTACTTGTAAGAGGGAGCACATAACACCTACTCTGGCATCCCTTCACTGGCTCCCTATACATTTTAGAGTTCTTTTTAAGATCCTATTATTTGTTTTCAAATCTTTAAAGGGCCTTGCTCCACCTTACCTCTCTGAGCTCCTCCACCCCTACACACCTGCCCAGTGCCGCAGGTCTATGGACCAGACACTATTAGAGGAACCAAGAACTAAGCGGAGGCTCAGAGGGGATCAAGCCTTTTCCATTTCTGGTCCCTCTCTTTGGAATGACCTCCCACTGAACGTTCGGCAAGCCCGAATCGCTGCCCATCTTAAAACATGTCTCAAAACTCATTTGTATTCTTTGGCTTTTGACTCAGCATGACTCAGACTTGATCTTAGTTTTACTGTTTTGTGCTTTTTACTGTATTCCTTATTAATTTGTTTTATTGTTCATAGTTGTATATATGATATTTGCTCCATGTACAGCACTTTGTATACAGTGGTGGTTGGTTTAAAGTGCTCTCGAAATAGTTTGAGTTGAGTGTTTCTGTATAGTGCAGTTTCATTAACACATCACCCCTTATGCTTTATTCGGATGACAACAGGTTAAAAGAGTCTCTGAAATGCAGTGCTTCATATGAGGGACAGAAAGATGGCTTCATTTAAGGTCAAATTCCCACATAGTCTATGAAAGCTGCTGGTTGTGATGTGCAGCCTTGACAGGTGACACTTACTACAGCAGATGGAGAAATTGTAAAGTCTCGGAAGGTCTCATAGATAAACAAGAGGCGGCTTTCAAGATGAGTGTTTCATCATCCCGTTTACCCAACGTGGAGGGATACACGGTGTGATTCAACAGCAGACAGTTTTCCACAACACGAGTAATAATTATTCCCAATAAAATGACCTGTGACAAGCAAAGAAGTGCAAAGACAAGACACATTGTTTTCATTCTTTTTTTTTCTCCAAGGGGTGCAAGAGCCCATAAAATCTTTGCACAAAACTGAATAAAAATGTTGTGAAAATGTTCTCATTATGTTGTGATTTGGGTCATTGACTTTTGTTGCACTGAGTGTGTGAAGGAGAAGTCCCTGCCTTTTCAATTGGTGTGTGGGATCGCGATACTTCTTAATTTTGTCAAAGCACAAGTTGCTGATTGCGGAACCTCAAAATGTCGTTAGATATAAACTCAAATACAAACCCAATTCCAGTGAAGTTGGGCCCTTGTCCATCCATCCAACCATTTTCTGATCTGCTTATCCCCACATTTCAAATCATTTCTGGAAATTGTGGACGTCAAAGAAAAAAAAAAGGATCATCCGGACTCCAAAGTTCAAAAGCCAGCACCTGTGATGGTTTGGGGTTGTGTGAGTGCCAATGGCATGGGTAACTACATCAGTGAAGGCACTATGCATTCTGAAAGGTACAAACAGGTTTTGGAGAAACATATGGCTGCCATTCAAGCGACATCTTTATTATGGATGCCCCTGCTTATTTCAGCCAAACCACATTTTTGCACGTGTTATAACAGCAGGGACGAGACTGGCCTGCCTCCAGTCCAGACCTGTCTCCCATTGAAAATGTGTGGCACACTATGAAGCGTAAAATCCAACAAGGGAGACCCTGGACTGTTGAACAGCTCAAGTTGTACATCAAGCAAGAATGGGAAAGAATTGCACAAAACTTCAACCATTTGTGCCCTCGGTTTGTTTATTGAATTTGTTCAAAGAAAAGATGATGTGACACAGTGGTGAACACAATTGTGTCCCATCTTTTTTAGAATGTGTTGCAGCCATAAAATTCTCAGTTAATTATTATTTGCTAAAAAGCAATACATTTGATCAGTTTGAACATTAAATATCCTGTCTTTGTCGTGTATTCAATGAAATGTAGGCTGTACATGATTTGCAAATCATTGTATTCTGTTTTGATTGATGTTGAACACAAAACACAATTTTGTTTCCCCTTTTGTCTCAGTGGAGGCCTCCTTTCTACTGAGTCACATCCTCGCTCTTGTTGATCGTGCCTATTGCATCCGTTTATACAGAATATCCCAAAATTAATAAGGATGGTCAACAGTAGTTCCATGTCAAAGAAACACACAGTAACTGTTCCGACATCTGCTAAATGCATTATGTTCCTGTGCTAAGCCTATTCCTGTGCAGGAAAGAATCTGAGTGCAAAAAAAATTTTTCAGGGAGCCTAAAATGTAATGTGATCACCCTCCAGGTGCAGGAGTTGGTGGAGGATATAAAGCATTCCCTGGACCTGCGGCTGCAGGAGCTCGACTGGATGGATGAAGCCACCAAGGACGCAGCCAGAGCAAAGGTTTCAAACTTGATTTCTCCATCTCACGCATGCAAGCTCCTGTCAGAGCCGGTGTAGGATTTGGATTTGTTTAGTTTTCTCCTTCTCTTCCTTCGGCGGGTTTGACTGATTGCTGGGGTAGATGAAACACAGTGATAGAATACATCAAGGACTTGACTTTGAGAATACGGATCTCTCTGCGGTGCTGATTTAGGGTCTGCACAGCAAGATATCCCTTCTAATACATTTACAATGTGAAGTTATAATCCTTTTATAGGGTCTTTCCGAATATAAAGAGCTTCCCTGTAATCCTATTTTACTTGCTTTGCTTGATTAGTTGACGCGTGTGCCCGACTCCTGATGCAAATATCTATTGAATATAAGTTGGGGACAAATGTATGGAGAATGGATTTGTTTTTCCTCCTCACTTTCCACTTTTCCTTCGTCCCTCATAATCCTCTCCAACTGCTCTTTCTCAGCTGAAGTACATGATGGTCATGACAGGATACCCAGACTTCCTGGTCAAACCTGAGCTCATAGATCGTGAATATGGGGTGAGTCATAAACTCTCACTTTTTCTGCTTTGCTTTCTACTTGAAAAGGGATTTTCCACCAGGAATTCCCATCCCGGGAGCCTGTTTAAATAAAGTGTAGAGAGAGCATTATAGGTCAAGCTGAGGCATAGAAGCTTTAGAAGTTGTATCGTGAAGTTAACATTGCTGTATTTCTGTGCAAAAAATAAAAATATGCACTCTGTAACTGTTGTTGATGAGATTTTTGCCTAAAATCGATTGTCCAATTAGACTGCAGGTTGATTGATTGTTCAAAATTATCCTTTTATATTAAACAACAAATCCTGACTATTACCAGATGTACAAAAAATGTTTGGGGATTCACTGCCCCATGCTCCACACCATTACTTTATGAGTTATCGGGCCCTATTTTTGTGTCCACTGCAAGTCTCATGCAAAATTGCAGTCCAACTGCTCGTATGGATGGAGTTTTCTTTCTTTTGGCATTTTTGTACATGTTAGAAATGTGTGTTTGCGCTGTTGTGGGAGTGAACACAGCAGACCTGATTCCTGGCCAATCAAAGCATCTCATCTCATTCCCTTCAGTGTAGGTGAGGCGCACGGGCTGCAAGGCAGAAGCATAACAGACTCACATGCTGCAGTCCATGCAGTCCAGAAATTGGCATGCACAGAGTGCGTTTATAAGGAACTGCAAGAAAAGATCTCCACTTGCGGATGATGTAAAGTTGGCCGCTGTAAAGCGGACACTTTGAGATCGGCTTCCACCGATGATCGTGTGTGTGTGTGTGTGTGTGTGTGTGTGTGTGTGTGTGTGTGTGGGTGGCACATGAGTTGTGCCTTGGCCAGGGGGCTGCTTTGAATAATACATCAATGCATTTTATTATTATTTCTTACCACCATCTTCTAAAGGTGGCAAACAGCCAAAATGATGCACATGTTTTAATTCGGAGTGCATTGCTTTCAATATGTTAGCATGCTATTTTTTAGCATTTTGAGAATTTTGTTGGTACCAAAGTTCAAATGGTTGTACAGCCCAACTTGCAATAACTTGCCAACCAAATGCCAACTCACAGATGCAATGGATAGAAGGCCCATTATAGATCTCTGTTGGACTTTTTGTATTTTGCTGCACTATTACTTGTTTTCCCTCTCGGCATCAGCGAAAGTGTACATTGGCCTTTAGGTTGAAAAGCATTTTTTCAAATCACTCCACTGGAAAGGTTGTGCCTGTTATAAGTGGTTTTCAGAAATATCCATTCATTATCTGAAATAGAAGTGCATGAGTGGTAAATGGCCTCACCGATGTAGCACTTCTTTACCTTTAGGCCTTCAAAGTGTCTTGCAATTTAACCACAATCACCAAAGTATTGATGGAATATTTTGTCATGGAACAAAAGTTAACAGCTCATTCACATCGTGATGTGAGGGTGGGCGTTATTGTGGTATCTTGCTTCTGGACATTTCAGCAACGTCGTGGGGAAGAACCAGCTCTTTATCAACTGTCACACAAACATAGCCAATAGAGTCAGTCATAAATAACTACTTGATTAATTACTAAATAATCGAGACAAAAACAGGTATATTTTAATGAGACATTGCAAAGTGTACCTAATTGATGGTGAGGGACAAAAAAGCGCCTTTATCCACAAATCACTTTCTTAAAAATATATCCTTCCATCTTCTATTCTGCTTTTACTCATTAGGATGATGTGGGAGCTGGAGCCTATCCCAGCTGACTTGGGGCAAAAGGGAGGTTACACTCTGGACTGATGGCAGGGCACAGTCACAGGGCACATAAAGACAAGTGGGACATTTCGAGTCTTCAATTCAATTAACGTTCAGTTTTTATGTGGGCACAAGCATGGGGAATCCATGCAAACTCTACAGCTCAGCCAAGGTTGAAAACCTGAACTTTTGAACTGGCGGCAGACATGCTAAACACTTAAAACCATGCTCCTGTGACTTCAATTGAACAATGTTGCATACTTAATATTAAGGAGATTTGGGTTTCTATCATAACGAACTGCAAGGCACGGTATACTAACCAATTAGTGTCATCATATCTTACCGTTTTTGCAGTTTGATGTGGATGAGAAAACCTACTTCAAGAACATCCTCAACACCATCAAATTCAACATTAAGATGTCGGTCAAGAAGATTCACGAAGAAGTTGACAAGACAGTGTGAGTTTCCCCTCTCAGCAATTGTTTCTCTGATGTTCTTTTTAGTTTGACACATTTGCGGTTGTGCCTTTGTGATAAAACAAACAGATTTAAAGTCAACACACACACACACACACACACACACACACACACGCACACACACACACACACACGTATACTAACCAATTAGTGTCATCATATCTTACCGTTTTTGCAGTTTGATGTGGATGAGAAAACCTACTTCAAGAACATCCTCAACACCATCAAATTCAACATTAAGATGTCGGTCAAGAAGATTCACGAAGAAGTTGACAAGACAGTGTGAGTTTCCCCTCTCAGCAATTGTTTCTCTGATGTTCTTTTTAGTTTGACACATTTGCGGTTGTGCCTTTGTGATAAAACAAACAGATTTAAAGTCAACACACACACACACACACACACACACACACACACACATACAGCTGGAGAATATCCATTGAGTTACTTATCTACAGCAGCCAGACAGTAGGGACGTTCTGTGAAACATGAAGCTCATTTTTGTGAAATACAGCAGAGCCTGATACTCCTGGACTGAGTGATTCTTTGCACTGACACACATTATTATTCCAGGATGCCCGGAACAACTGCTCCATTAGCCCACGCTCGATACCCTAAAGAGTTGAATCACGCACTCCTCCTTTATCACCAAAAAGTACATCTTTCATTGCTTGCTCTCTCTGTCTTGTCAGTGAGAAATAAATAAACGCTCCTCGTTCTTTTCTTTCGGTCCTCTTCAATGCTACAAAGCCCACGCAGAGCCATCAGTCTTTCCCTCCTGGAACAAGGGCATCGCTCACTTTCAGAGTTAGTCATTTGGGGAATTTGGTGGCAATCGATTGGTCTGGCTTCAAGTGGATTAGCATAGAGGAACTGTCCTTGTTTTCAAGTGCAGGGAGCGGTGGCTGTGGGATCACGGGCACTGAATGCTTCTCACCACGGGGTTTTTCAGAGATGAGAGAGAGAGAATGTTTTGCAATTATAGTTAGTACTTTTGTAGATGTGTGTGTTTCTCTCCTTGCCTGTGTGTGTCAGGGTTATTTGATTGATATCTCCACAGGTGGATTCTCCCTCCACAGGCGCTAAATGCCTACTACCTTCCTAACAAGAACCAAATAGGTGAGTGATTCTTCAAATGCTATGAACAGAAAGATTGGTTATTGCATTTGTAGGGCCTGAAAATTGGGGACTGTCTCCACTCTTCGGGCAAGAGTCAACAAGATTTTGGATTATGTCTGTAGGAATTGTTACGCAATAAAGTTAATGGCTGTTGGCTGGGTGTGGGTAGCACATCCGTGTCCCAATTCAAATCCGGACTCCAAAGTTTGCATGTAGATGCTTCTGTGGATTTCCCGTGGTTATTCCGGCTTCTGCCCAAACTCCCCAAAATTCAGAAAACATTTACGTGAGGTTCGAAATTGTTCTTTGGTGAGTTGTGAGGACTGAGGAAATGATAAAGAACACGAATTGTAAATGTTAAATACACTGCGTAAGCAGTCACCTTCAACTGAAAATATAGACATGACTTTTTTTCAACAAATGACATTAAAGGAAAGTATGTAAGAATGTTCATGACAAATGCACATTATGGCATCAAGAAAAGTGCTTCTCCATTAGTCTCACCAGCCACAGATGACGCTGTTCAAAGCGCAGCACCACAAACTCTGAAGGGCTCAGTTAGCATAGTCATTTCTGATCAAAGGTACAATAGAATGTTCGTTGAAAATTTTGAAATCATACTGACAATTTGTTCCACTAATGGTGATGGGGACAGTTTGATGCTGGAACAAATAATAATTTTCACCTTCACCTGTGGGGGACAAACTGTTTGATTTAATTGGAGGTGACTCAACTCAACTCAACTCAACTCAACTCAACTGTATTTATAGAGCACTTTCAAACAGCCATCGCTGCATACAAAGTGCTGTACATGGAGCAAATTAACATATACAACAAACAGTAAAGCAAATCGGTAATAAAAACAGTAGAAAGCACCGAACAGCAAAACCAAGAACAATCTAAGTCATGCTGAGTCAAATGCCAAGGAATACAAGTGAGTTTTGAGGCGGGTTTTGAAGATGGGCAGCGAGGAGGCTTGCCGAATGTTCAGTGGGAGGTCATTCCAGAGAGAGGGACCATCAACAGCAAAGGCTCGATCCCCTCTGAGCCTCAGTTTAGTTCTTGGTACTTATAATAATGTCTGGTCCGCAGACCTGAGGCGCCGGGCAGGTGTGTAGGGGCGGATGAGCTCAGAGAGGTAAGGTGGCGCAAGGTTATTTAGAGATTTGAAAACAAATAAGAGGATCTTGAAAAGAACTCTAAAATGTATGGGGAGCCAGTGAAGGGATGCCAGAGTAGGAGTTATGTGCTCCCTCTTACGAGTACCGGTCAAGAGGCGAGCAGCGGCATTCTGGACCAGCTGGAGACGCTTAATGGAAGACTGGCTGACTCCAAAGTAAAGGGCATTGCCTTTATTTTATTTTATTTTATTTATTTTAATTGACCTATCAAGGGCCATTATATCTTATACATACTTATCTCACAATATTAAACCTTCCTCTTCAACTCCTAAAGCCACAGTACACACGTCAATTTTTTTTTCCATCTTAACCAATTTTTAAAACGAGAGCGATTCAGGATGAGGAAAAAGCCAACATGTGTGTACTTATGACAAACACAGCACACTACACACTAAATGTTGTTTGTCATAATACCAAAACTGACCAGTGAGGGGTAGCATGGAGCTACAGGACATCCAGACTGACACAAAATTCAAAGAAGAATCTACAAGTCAAAGACAGAGAAGAAACGTACTCCGTTTATCAGTTATTTATGTGGCATTAGCTGCTGGTCTTTTTGACCTTTTTTTTCTGAGTTTGGTCATGTGATGTTCGCACGCTGGGTCGTGATTGGTTGTTATCGCAGTCCTTAGGCACTGTGATGTCATTTTCAGTTCACAGCAAGTGGCAAAATGGCTGCCCCCTGAGATGGATAAAAACGGGTGGATTTTACGGCTTGAGTCCACAAATACAATATTAATCAGAATGCCGTGTTTAGACGGGTGATCCTACATAGAACATATTGAAAAGAACCTTTTTAACTTGACCTCCCCTTTAACAGACCTCACACCATTGGATAATTGGTCAGGATAATCTTTTACACACATCCAAGAATTGGGCCTTTGCTGACTTTGGTCAAAAAAAGGAAGAAATTCTCAAATTGTTGGCATGTTGTGTACCTCACTTTAAAGACCAACAAACAGTAAAACCTTTTCAATTAGAAAAGTAGCCTCGCTCTGTCACCCTTTCCTTACTCTTGTCGCTCACTGAGCAGCTGCACCTTCTTTGCTGCCTGCTAGCCTACCTTCCTAGTGGTTTAATTCCTTCACTGAAAAGACATCAATAGTTTTCTCCTAAGCTGATGTAGAGAGCGGGGGTGGGGGGGACTCACACACACACACACACACACACACACACACACACACACACTTCTCTCATTTTGGAAGCAGCCACTTGAGCCAATTTAATTTCATACTTTTTTTTTTTTTTTAATTAGTAGCAATTACCGACACTGCTGTTGCTTCTCTACTTTTTGTCACAATAAAAACATTTACAATTTCCAAAAGCTGGTGATGGACTGCATTGAAGTTAGCACGTCAGCCTCACAGTTTTGAGGTTTGGGGTTTGACATTTGGTCTTCCTATGTGCAATTTTCATGTTCACCTTGGGCTTTCCGGGGTTTTCTCATGGTAATTCACGTTTAAAATAGATGCATGGTACCTTGTCGTGATGAGCAGTAGTTATAACGAACCCTAGTATAAACGAAAGAGAAAAATAAACTAGATACAAGACAAGATTGCGTTTGTAAAAAGGAAATCGCCACCAAACTTAGTGGAAAACGGGACTTTTGCAGCGTGTTCATTGCAGAGAAGTCACTATTGTAGCTTATTGTATGCTAAAAAATTCCCATTCTTTGACGATGCCATTGGTGCATTGAGGGGGAAAAAGCATCTACTGGTGCTAAAAACTGCAAAACTGCTTCTCAAAGAAAAAAATATATATTTCAAGCCTTCATAAAACATGGTTGCGGTGCATGACATTCTCTTCCCAAATTATCTTGAGTTTTAAAAACAGTGTTCAGTAAATTGGGCATAGACTTTTATTCACTTCTTTCAACATATTATTCCGCCCCAAGATGTATTCTTCAAAGTTAAAAAGGAACAAACTTCCTGTTTTGAACTACTTTAATTGAGATTTGTCTCATATTAATATTATACATTCTAATTTCAATAACCATGCAAATAATTCAACAGCTGATAAAAAAAGTACTTTGAAGGCATTTGAGTTTGGAATATGAGTATTAGGGACATATTTCAGGAATAGCTGTCTCTCTCTCTCTCTCTCTCTCTCTCTCTCTCTCTCGCTCTCGCTCTCGCTCTCTCTCCTATTTTGCCGGTCCATTCTCCGTCTGCGACCTGGGTACCCTTCCGTCATTTTCCCTCCGTCCTTATTCATACAATAATCGTGCTCCGTCCCCATCCGTCCTCTATCTTTTAAAGCGCTTCTATCCCAGTCTCCCCCCCCCCGATTAATACAGAATTGTTGCTTTTGATTGTATGATGTTATCTTAGCTCAGTTTTATGGCTAATATTAAAGCCACATACAATAGGGCATGTGGGCTGATATATCGCTTTGACCCGGTTCAACAATTGTCTGCTACAGAAAAATCCTCTCATTCACACAAGTAAATCACTCTCATAATACAACTAAAACTTCTCTCTGCAATTTCCATCCAGACAATTAAAGGGCAGTCCTATGTGCAACAAATGTATGCTTAAAACTCTTAGTTTGCATGTAAAGATGTGGACATAATGTACACAGAAACATACGTATACACTGCAGGTGACTTGGCACATGCCTCTTTGCCCTTTGTTGCCCAAACGTCCTTCCCCTCCTTGTCATTTTCTTTTTACATGTGCTTGTGTGTGAAGCTTGTCTCAAACCGTAGGGTAAAATGAAGCCAACTTTTTTTTTTTTTTTTTGTGCAGCATTTTTCATGCATTAAAAATGCAACACAATGTGCTGTACCGAAATAAAAAAAATCAGTCAAAAGGAAAAAAACAACAAATACACAGAGCCCCACACCTCCCATCCTCACATGTAAACACATATGCACCAATACGAACACCCCCACTCCCATGTACACATAACACATATGAAGTGACAGTGTACAGTATAATAATGTCAAGGCACTGAGGATCTAGGTGAGGAAATCCGTGGAAGCAATCCACACCAAGAGGTGTCCCAGTCCACAACCAAACCGCAGAGGATTCCCCCAGAGACCACCCCAAAAACTATTTGCGGAACCCTCGCAGTGCCCCAGATGCAGGCAGTCTGTAGGATGACATCCCTGCGGGCGGACCAAACACACCTCTCAGCACGGTGGCTCCCATGAGGCAACACCGGAGACAATAAAATCAGATAAAAATGTATTAAACTGATATATTATTTAAATGTAAATTCATAAAAAAAAAATAACAATAATTTTCAGGACAAACAAAATAGGTTAGTGATATGCCTCCTCTTAAAAATACCAACGGTCTCTGTGGCAGGGCCGCCAAACACGAATTACACACTGTCCGTAGGGCCCGATCATCCGTGGGGGTGCCCCAATTTGGGGATGCGCGCTTTACACATCATGCGTGAACGTGTCGACAAGCACTTTACATCATCCAACCTGCCCTCTGCACTCCATCAACAAAATATTTTCGTTGCATGATAAATGGCCGTTCACCCCCGACTTCAAGCAGCCTTTGCACATTTTTGTCCATATGTCCATCAAAAACCACCCATCCCACCTCAGCTGATATTTGTGGGGCATGAAAAATGGCAGTTGGGGGGGCCTCCAAATGAAATTTTGCTCTGAGCCCCAATTTGGTCTTGGCTGGCTCGGCTGTGTGGTTAGATGCCCTCTAAAAGGCTGTTCCAGAGGTGCAAGCCGTAATGGCTGAATGCAGCCTCTCTGTAAGTTTTTGTTCTAGCTCTGGGAACCATTAAAAGGCATGTGCCAGAGCACCTCCGGAACTGCGAGGGTTGATATAATGAACGCATATCAGATAAATATGATGAACCAAGACCGTTAAGACATTGAAAAAAAACAATTAGTAAAAGAATCTTAAAATCAATCCTGAAACACAAGGGTAGTCATGTGATGATCTTAAAACTGATGTTATATCCTCCCCACCCTCTGGTCTTTGTGAGCATACAGGCTGCCGAGTTCTGGAGTACCATATTTTCCGCACTATCAGACGCACCTAAAAGCATTCCATTTTCTCAAAAGCCAACAGCGGGCCTTATAATCCGATGTGCCTTATATATTGATCAATATTCTGATTTCTTGGATGTAGTATTTTAAATATTCTGTTAAGCTCTTTGTCACAGCTGCAGCGTTTGTATGAATTGAATACAACTTTATTGTCAAATGTGCTGTACGTATGTGTAACATTGTGAAAGCTCTATATAAATAAAGCTGTATTGTATTGTATTCTCCTTAGTGTAACTCCATCCAGGAGATGCATAACACAACCACAGCCACTATTGCAGCTTCTATTCTGTGCTCCTTATAATGCGGTGCGCCCCATATATGAAAACAGTTTTAAAATAGTCCATTCATTGAAGGTGTGCCTTATACTCCAAAGCGCCTTATACTGCGGAAAATACGGTAATTGTAGGTTTGAGATGCTCTTTTTTTTTGTTGTTGTTGTTGTTTATTGTGGGGGAAGATCAGAGAGCTGGCGATTGCAATGCATGCAGTGGTCGGCACCTCTGTGTTACCTTGAGAGAGGAACGGGCTATAGTCTGAAGATGGTAAACACCTATTTTGGTTTCTTTCCTGATGTGCGAAATAAAATTAAGCTCAGTGTCAAAAGTGACACCCAGGTTCTTTGCACAATGTTGAATTAAGGTCAAAGCTTTTCTCTCTTGCCTACGGGACATCACTAAAACTTCTGTGTTATCCTACATGAGCTGATGGAAATTCACTGCCATCCGCGACTTCATTTACCTCACATACTTTTTTTAATAGTGTTTCAATAGCGGTGCGCTCGCTCCCTTTCTAGACTTACTATACAGGAGAACTTGTTTAGAGAGTGCTTTAATCATGTTGTGTCTGTATTGTTTTTCAGTTTTCCCTGCAGGCATCCTTCAACCCACTTTGTACAATCCCGAATTCCCACAGTAAGTGTCTGTCCTCCTGTGTGTCCTACATCCCACAGGTATGACACGATCACCAGTGCCTCAAAAACAAAGGTCGTGAAGTCTCCATTATTCTGGCAAACCTCTCCTTCCCAAAAAGGCCCAGCTCCCCTGATTTGATCCATTTAACGAGCCACAAAGAGCTCAATTAGCGAACCAGGTCTCTCCGAATGGAACGGGTTTCATTGCTTGTTCGCCTCCCTGAATTTAAGTGAAGTAATTGGACAGAAATTGACAGATGAGAGGACTCCTCTTTGTCAGTGTCTCCTCTCTCTTTGCTCATCTTTCAGCTGAACACCTGTATATGAGAAGTGCAGTATGAAGCAGGCCAAAATAATTTTACTTCGAACTTAAACTTGCACATACATTTCAGACCACACGTTATTTACATCCAACCCACTCCCTTCGAGATATGAGAGACGCTTTTTAGTTTTAATTAATATCACAATGTCGAAATTGTTGTCAATCAATGTCGAGTATCCCGTTTTCGATCAGCCCATTTAATACCTACTGTACATTAAAAATGTCTATGCTTAATAATCTCTCAATAATAGCAGAACAACAACACAAATATAACACAAAAATCTCTCATCATTGCTTTTTGAGGTTTCAATCAAAATTGAGGTTTAATATCACTTTAACCCTTTCAGGACATTGGTTACTACAGGTTATCATTATTAGTGCAGGAAAAGGTCAAGGGCATTTTTTAACTAATGTGGGGGATTTAACTAATTTGGGGGATTTATACAGGTTTACTTGATACAGCAAGATCAATGGGTCAAACTAATGTCTACGAGAGAAGTAAATAGTGCAATCTGTCTGTTCAAACGTATCATGCAGCATACTAATAAAATTAGATTCGCTTTAACATATTGAAACTTGACATTTTTTTCAAGTTCTGTCGAATGGTCCTGTGCTTGTTTCTATGCTGCCGTCGGGTTCCCTTCATGTAATGCAAGTACAGAAGAAAAATCCATTTGGAACTTGATGGAGCAATAAAGCATTACAAAGGAAAGCAACGGAGCAGAGACTGCAGCTAAAATGACATTAATTTCTTAAATTAGAACAATGAATTGCCTGTCAGACAGGAGTCATCCTCATCAAGCTACAACTTCATTTGCAAACCATTCTGGCATGAATTCAATTCAAGGTGCTGGTTTTGGTGTGTGGTTTTGAAAAGCGATGCAAATTAATGTTGGAGACGATAGAACAAATCAAGAGCATTTCCAATCCAGTTTTCAACCCCTTTGAAAACCGAATGCTGCTCAAAATGATGTTGATGCAAGTGCAACTATTGAACTGATTCCACATTGCTGCAACTTCTTTTTATAAATCCCACACTCAGAAATGAGATCATTAGAGCAAACAGTTTGTGTGCTAAACATGAACGTATACTTTCATGTCCTCATTAGTGGAGATCGCCACTAATTCCACTACCTGCTGCCATGCATGCAGATAAACATTAATTAATGGTATGGAGTACGGACCTATCCCCCTTTCAGGAGTCCAAAATTCCCAAACACACACACGCACGCACTCACGCACGCACGCACGCACGCACGCACACACACACACACACACACACACACACACACACACACACACACACACACACACACACACACCTCAGGATCACATCCAGTAATTGAAGCTTCAATCAGCCAGTTAGTTTTAGCGAGGGAGTCCGGCACATTGCGAGGCAGCGTATCGACTCGCTGTCAGAAAGTCATTTTCAGACGTAGCCATGTGAATAGCCCCAAGTCTGCCCTTGAATTGGACTCCCATCTTTGCATGAGCTGCAAAGACAGCCGGCTTCCGGTTAGGGTCAGCAGTTGGGCAGAGGTGTGTGTGCCTATTAAAGGTGAGGTGTGGGGTGATGAATTTTTCTGGGAGAATGACATTCCAGGCCTTCCCCTGACATTCTCTAGTGCAGTTGATAAAACAGAAAAAGTGTTAAGCACTACATTGCATAGAGAATTGTGCGTTTGTCCGCGTCATTAAAGTGTGTACCTGCATGAGTGAGCTCAGTGTGAGTCCCATTATATGTGTTATGGTTTGCCATGCCTGCAGCACCCTCCCACCTTCAACAACACAATTAAATCAATGAAATTCTACTGGGTGGAACCTACAAAGTTATTGTTATAACAGTAAAAACTTACAATATATTCTAACGAGTAACCTAAATGACTTGCAACTTAAAACAGTCGGCCAACCATGTCTCATTTACTTTCATCTATTTTCAGTCCGTCAGTTCCCAGTACCTCTGCTAACCTAAAAATATTATAAGCAATGCTATTGTCTAAATTTTTTATCCGATCTAGATGGAAATATGTTTGTGTAACAGTGTTTCATTACGCCTGCTAGGTCTTTGAACTATGGGGGAATAGGAGCAATCATTGGCCATGAGCTGACTCATGGATATGACGACTGGGGTAAGAATACTTTTCTTAACACGCAGTATTCAAGAAATGAGATGTGATGGAAAAATATCTTGATCATACACAAAGCCGGATGTATCATTCTCGCTTGCCTTTTCAACACTGATCCCCATAACGTAGGGGGACAGTATGATCGCCATGGCAACCTCCAACAGTGGTGGACTGAGGACAGCTACAGAAAGTTCCAGAAGAAGGCTGAATGTATTGTGAAGCTCTACGATAATTTCACAGTTTACAATCAGAGGGTGAGTTTTGGCTATTTCAAATGGAATTTCACTTGTCCAAGAAAATCACACACACAATTCTGCCACATTTTATTGATTGATAAGTCTCTTGAGAAGAATTCACTCAACGTTGGGAAAAATGAAAATGAAATGAAAACATGAACAGTTAAATAAGAGTACATTTCCTTAATTGAACCATTCATGTTCAAAATGACTGGAAGAGCATGATTGCAGTAGTACATCGTTGTACCATGAAGTGATGACGGATGATATTTGTCATGTACAACTGTCAGGTTACAGTTGCACTTTTAACAACTTCCACTAAAAGTGTTTGTTTGTTTGTTTGTTTGTTTGTTTGTTTGTTTGTTTGTTTGTTTGTTTGTTTGTTTGTTTGTTTGTGGAGGGGCAATTGCAAACTTCTCTTTAAGTGCAAGAATGGTAAAGGAGAAAGAGTGAGGTGTTGTTATGCCCATAGATATATAGTATGTGGTGGGTGGATCAAAATGCAAATAAAATCAGACCTCCAAAATTTGTACACAATTTCTGTTCTCATTGCATACCATCTAAAGTTGTTTGACTTTCGGCTTCGTCCCTTTCAGTCAGGTGTCAAATAATATTATATGCTTTTAAGATTTAACTAAAACTATTTTTATTTTTCTATTAGTATTTTTTTTTCTCATCAAGGAAAGTAATAAGGTGACGTAGGGTGGCACCCCACCACCCTCGGCAATAATAATTACAATACTACTAGTTTAACATTCTGAAGGCTAGAAAATCAACACTCAATTGTTTTTAATATATATTATTTTTTGCGGGATCACAGACTCTCTCCAAACCATCTGAAGACATGTTTTGATGTGTCGTTTTAGACCTCAAAGCAGTTGACAGAATCAATTGTACCTCTGCTTGTTGGAGCCACGTCGTGCACTCCACTTTGCCTCATTTGCGTCCAAGACACAATAAAGCATAAGTAGGCTCTCCGTCAGACTGATGGAAGGTCCATCATTCCATCGCTCTTTCCGTCAGCATTTCAGGCCAACCCAGGAGGGCCCAGTACATCCCTGGCCCGTGACACCCAATCAACATCAAAGAATGCAATTTCCACGAAACAGATAGATGCCGCAAAAGCAGTCACGCAGCCAAATAAAAAAACAAAAAAAGACAACAGACACACACCCCTACATACAGGGTGGTGATTGGTGAAATAAAAACAAGATGGGACATATGTCACTGTGGTCTGTGGGACTGAAAATAATACAACACTGTGGGGGGGGGGGGGTTCTGAAAAGGCTGCATCAGGTCTGTGGCGTCTGCGTGTGACGTGGTAAGGGTAATGCTGATGTCAGATGACACAGATGTAGCCCGATTTTGAGCCGACAGACGTTTTGCAAACAATCGTAATGTCTCGTAACCAATTTGGAGTTGTCTTGATGCATCGTGGCCCGTGGAGTGTAACATAGTTAGTGATTAGTCGCCTGGCATCTGGGATACTTCGCGACGACGAAAGTCCGGCATGTCAGAATATTTTTTCGTGTTGCTGCATAGTGTGACATGTCCTACGTCATCCTTCGATTGGTTCTGTGGCATCGACCAATACGAAGATGGTGCTCATGACGAAAAACTAGAAGTGCATAAACAAAAACAAACAATATCAGAATCATCTTTATTGGCCAAGTATATAGAACATGCAAGGAATGTGTCTCCGGTAGTATAGGCTACACTAATATTGTAATAACAAGCAACTACGATAAACAAAGACATGACATATAAGTATCGAAAGACTTTCCATAATGTATTGGTACCATTGTGCCATTTGGTACCACTCAATGACAGCTGTGAGACAAAGTGTAGAGTCATAGAGCAGAAATAAAGTGATCAGTGGGGGCTTGAAATACGGCAGCTCACCGACAGACTCACCAGATTGACGATGCCCACCTCTGCAATCAAGCCGCTTTTCCCAGTTACCCGTCTCATCATGGTTATACTGCATTTTCAAATTACCACTGGCCACTCAGTGGTTGAGCAGAGTCATCCTTGCTGTGTTATTTAGTGACTTTTCATTAATTTAGCATGAAGAGTTGATGATGAGATTTAATGTGGCTTCAAACTAGTCACATAGGAACAGTTTCCCCTGGTGACGAAAGGTCCTCTTTTTTTAAGAGAAAAGTCGACCACTCTAAACTATAGCAGGTCGGGTCAACTGTGGCAAACTGGATAGGCATAGCGCAGTAAAAATGGCGCTCTATTAAACCATCAGCTCCAGGCAATGGACTGTAATTCTGCGTCTCCTTTTTTACACAGCTATATTTGACTTCATGATGATATGCCACAATTTTGAATTGAATTTTGTGTGTTTGTTAAATATTCAGCATGTAAATGAGCAGTTTATTATCCCCTCCATTTCCATTGTGTGCACTAGGGATCATTGAAAGCAAAACATTTTATTGCACCCCATTTGGGAATTTGAGTTATGTTTTTAGAATGCAATGTGAATGTGCTTTCTGTATCTAGGTTAACGGCCGCCTGACACTGGGAGAGAACATAGCAGACATGGGAGGACTCAAGCTGTCATACTATGTGAGTACTAATTACTTAGTGATCAGACTCATACTGCTGAATCTGATGCAAAAGTCATATCACATGCAGAAAAGTTGACTAAGGATATGCAATGAATGGGACATTTATATTAAATGAATATAAAATGCAGAATAATAGCAGATTCATATGGTTACAAAATCTGTTCCTGATCTGAGCCAAAACCTTGAAGTTTTGGTGGGCTTCAGAGAATTTTAAGATTTCAAACTGGGCCCTGACACTATTTTGTTATGTGATTGATGGGGGTCATGTGTGAGTTAAAGCATGTCAAAAATTGGACAAAAATGTGAATCACTCCAAGCGGATGTGCATCAATGTTTTATTTTATTAAAACGAAAAAACAGTTCATTCCCATCTATGGAGGACGAATTAAGGAAATGAGAAAGTATTCCCATTTCAGAGGCTGAAATCACAAGATTTGATGTTTTAAAAATTAATTCATATTTAAAAAGTGATTTAAAATCGAACTTTCTTTCCATTTTGTGTTGCATGAACTTGCTCACAAGAGCCACATTTTTCAGATTTTTTTTTGTGGGGTTTTTTTTTTGTTTGTGGGTTTTTTTGGGTGTTCAGTGTAGCCATTGGACATGTAATTATCTAGGCAACTTATGCTTTACTGTTATTGTGTTTTGCCTCAAATATAATTTGACAATTTGGTTATTTAGTTCTTTAGCCACTGCAGAAAAGCAGCAGTTGGGGATAATAAAAGTTGGCTTACTTCCTGAACGCCCTCCAATCCGTCTGGAAATTGAAACAGAACAGAACCATGACAACTCCACACAGCCAATAACAGCAATGCTGGGTGACATTCGAGAGTTGAAGGCCAACAGCGAAGTGGCAGTTGAAGCATTACCATGTCAAAGCCAAAAGAAAGAAGAGCTGCGATGTTAGCAAATTAGTGTTAGCTAAGAATGTTACCAGCATTCGCTTCTGGTGATCATGTTATAATAATGTTAGCTAAGTTGTCGATGTGGGACCGAGGGCTTTATGTAATTGGCCATGTCATGCACCACACCACGACGCTAATGGACAAGTGAAATTAGGCCACTTGGCGATGAAATGCCGTTTCTACGAATGGCAATGGAATAAAATCTCTGTGGGCACTTGCTTCAAGTGTTTGTGGTATGAAGATATGGTTGGTTCAATGTCCATGGTAACTGAATGTGGTTTGATGCACAAATTTGCATTATAAAACCGTAAGCTTCTTTCAAGCAGCACTTACTTAATTGCTCTATGACGAAGTACGGCGGTCTGCTTGTGCTCGGTTATGTGCGAATGCATGATATGTACAGGCTGAAGTCTTGTATTAGTGCGGTAAAATGTGTTAATTGTCTTTAAAATCAGGGGGTTCACTTGTTTTCCACACTCTCGACGCTGCTTTTGTCAGGATAGAAACAAGCAGCCAACCACCAAGCAAAATGGCCAAAGGCTGCCAGCCAACTATTTCTCAGTTTAAGACTCACCATTGGCTCACCAGTGTTTGGGGCGGGATGAGACTCTCTTGCTGCATGAGGCAGCTCAGCCCCGAAAATGAGTTCATTTCCCATGTACAGTGGTACCTCGACTTACAAACGTCTCTTCATGTGAAAATTGCAAGTTACGAAACATCTCAACAGGAAAATATTGCCTCTTGTTACGAAAGAAAATTCAAGATACCAAAGGTAAAAATACAGTATGGCCCGCTACTCGCAGCTCCGAGTTTCCTGAACGCAACATACTCATATCTGCTCTCCCATTGGCTATTACGAGCATCATTCTGGCATCCCATTGGCTAAGGGGGACGTCTACCGTATGTGTCTAGGTGTGTAGATAGATAAATAGATAGATATGTGTCTATGCAGCGTCCTCGTCATTCGCCCTTGGGGCCATGAGGCGTTCCGATTTTTTACATAAATGTGAATCACCCAGAAAAAGTATTCACCAGTCGGGCGATCGCTCACTATGCTGATGTTTGCCTTGGACATTTTCGATCCTGGCTCCGGCCTTCCGGTGTGGAGTATGCATGTTCTCCCCGGGCCTGCGTGGGTTTTTGCTGGGTACTCCGTTTTCCTCCCATATTCCAAAAACATGCATGGCAGGCTGATTGAACACTTTAAATTGTCCCTAGGTGTGAGTGTGAGCGTGGATGGTTGTTTGTGTGTGTGGCAACAGGTTCAGGGTGTCCCCCACCTACTGCCTGGAGACGGCTGGGATAGGCTACAGCACCCCCCGCGAACCTTGTGAGGATAAGCGGATCGGAAAATGGATGGATGGATGGATGGATGGAAAAACAGAGAGAGAGAGAGCGAGAGAGACAGAAAGAGAGAGATCATAATTTATGATCCACTTAATGAGCACCCCTGATTTCGAGTTTGTATTTGTCCCATGTTTTTGTAATGTGGGAGGAACACCACAGAGGAGTGCCAGAGCCGACATTTGAAACCAGATTCTAACCCCTCGTGCAGCTTATTTATCAAAACGTCTGTCTTCTTTTTATTGATAACCCCGATCACATTCACTCTGTCCAGGCATATCAAAAGTGGGTGAGAGAACATGGGCCAGAGAGACCCCTACCAGGGCTGAAATATACACATGAGCAATTGTTCTTCATTGCCTTTGCACAGGTACTAAGACCTCTCATTGTCTAATTTTGTTGCCAAAGATGCTTCATTTGTTTCAAGTGAGGACCTCAATTTGTATACTTGCAGTTGAAGTCAAACTGATTGTATTTAATTTGTTTATTTGTTCATTTCTTTATTTCAGAACTGGTGTATGAAAAGAAGATCTCAATCAACCTACTTGCAGTTGTTAACAGATAAACACGCACCAGAACACTACAGGTAAATTGCATGCACCAAATACACGTTTACGTATAGCAGATCCTTTGAAAGTCATGAATATCTTGCACATGTGCACATATCTTATCACAATGTACTAATATAGTATTCATTTTTCACCCTTTAGAGTGATTGGCAGCGTTTCCCAGTTCAATGAGTTTTCCCGTGTTTTCCATTGTGGGAAGGGGACTCCCATGAACCCTGTTGACAAATGCTCTGTATGGTGACCCCACCGGAAATAATTTGACTTAATTTGAAGTTGCCACCAACACACGTTCACACACACACACACACACACACACACACACACACACACACACACACACACACACACACACACACACACGCGCGCGCGCGCGCGCACACCGTCACCACTATTCATCACAAGCAGATGTCCTACATGACGGTGAAAGTGAATCTTTTCACACTCATCAGTGCAAACACAGTGAATGAGTGATCCTCATACAGTCCATCATCTCAAGAAATGTCTCCTAACCGCTCTCATCAGTCATGCACATATCACAAATTAACACATATCATTGACTATACATATCTATTTTTGTATTTTAGATCTTTTTTTTTCCCTTCAAATCATCTATTTTTGTATTACAGCAAATATATGATGGCCATAATGTATTTCAGCGGGTTTAGGTTTTACTTAAGCAACACATTTCTCTGTAATTTAACATCCGATGCATCACCCGGAACATTCTCAGTATATCCCAGGAGGTACAGTAGGAGGGTGATTTCAGTGCAGACTGATGTCGATTTTTTGTTCCTCAACTGCAATGACAACATTGTTTTGCATCGCGAAATGTTGCCCCTTAGTTCTGTACCGTATTCAAGTTGGCTCTTGCTCTTGTGGTTTAGAGCGCAAAGCTCACTGTCATGACTGTTGTATCGTTTGCCTGCATTGTTCTCTTGTTCGAGTATTTGTACCTTTTCAAGCGGCGTGAAGTGTTTCTTTGTAAAAGTTGAATTCATTATTGACGTTTTTCCTCAGGAAATGTAGCGCCAAAATTCAGTATCGGTACAACTCTCACCTCATCACCAAATGAAGGAGCTGGTGTTTGTCAACAAAAACAAAAAAACCCAAACGTTCCTCACTGGACTGACCAGACAAGCTCATGTGATCATATGAGAACCAGTAACCGCAAGAGAAGCAGTGCGTTGGATCGCCATTAGTGTATATTCACGGTCAATGAACTCACAAATAACAGAATACAGCACTGTACTGTATATGCACTCAGTCCACTCAACCGAACTTTCTGGTGGAGATGACTCAAGCATATGTACTGTTATTTGAAAGAAAAGGCTTTTGTCCACCAAATGTGATGAGTGTTGTTGTGAACTTGGTTTTGACGAAAAGAGCATGTTCCCTCCCTTTGGCACCTAACATCACAAAGCTCAAACTGACATACTGTACATGGATCATTCATGACCGACTGTGCAGCGGCAGTATTCGTTCACATATGATCGCTATCGCTTTCCTCTCTATGGTTGCTGTTCAATGTTTGAATAAATTCAAACAAATCCTTGTGCCATGTATGTGTGTGGCTTTGGGTCATTATCGGTGTGTTATCAGTGTTTGTGTGCTCCCAGGCTTGCTTCTCTAGCAATGGCCCAGCTCAATCGCAGCAACTGTACAGCTGATGGTGGACTTCGCTATCAGGTAGAACTCGACTTACCGAATGAATCTCTTTGTGACTGGGCATAGGCACATATACAGTATTTATGAACCCAAATGCCATTATGACTTTTGAGTGACTGATTGTGGAAGTGGTTGTAGTCGTCCAGGTGCTCACAATTTATTTCAAAACCGCAAAGCAAAACAAAGCATGCTCTTCCTACAGCAAAATAACATACTTTTTTTTTATACGCTTCTCAACATGTAGGCATGGTGGACTCAAATGCAGGGAAAGACTGGACAGAGGTGACAATTCACAGTCTGAATTTTCTGTCACAGCAGCGCCTGGAGTTGATCAAGGCTGACTCAGGCTCGATTTACCTTGCATGTCATTGCAAAAGTATACAGTAGACCAGTGGCGGATGCTGGTCTGTCAAGGAGGGTAAAAAAGCTCAATTTCGGCCTACATCATAAAATGTGTCCGTTTATTTATACGTGAATTCTACTCTCCGTTCCTTTTCAAGAAAATGATCTGTGACTCTGTGGTGATATAAGTCAGTCTGCGAACACAAGCAACTACAATAAAAAACACCAGAACTAAAAGATTAATTTGTCACTAGTCGCTTTCAACAAAGAGTGTTGCTAAAATGATTAGAAGTCTCCAGTTCAACTCAGAACAGAATGAGAATTGAAAAATGCTCCCACGGATGCCTACACCAAAAGATCGGTGATTGGCTCATTTCGCTGTCAATCAAAAAGAGATTCAGCCTCAGACAGATCATCCAATCATCATGCAGAAAAGCTTAGCGTCCGGGTCCACCCATAAACGCCCACTGTCCATAGACTCCCAGAGACGCTGAGCGTCCGATGGGTGGGACAAAACCAGCATTTATCCAATGACTCGTCTCGTTGGGGACAACCTGGACTGAACTCTCTCGACGCCCAGCGTCCGCGCTGGAGACGCTCAGCGTCTACACAGTTTAAAGCACAGTGAAGCTGCGGGAATGAATGAGAAGAAAGTCGCGTCGTAACCAGTAATAAGAAGCTGATTCGGAACAAAAGTTGAGCGCGTTGTAGCGCATATTTAGTCAATGACATGTCCACACAATTATATGTACACGCATATGTTTGATCACTTACTTTTTGACATTTTAGGGGAAGCTGAGCTTCCCTTGCAGTCTTAGAGCAATCGCCTCTGCAGTAGACACATTGTCCAAATGGACTGAGACATTTTAGCTTCCTAAACAAACTGCTAGTGTTGTCACTAAAGGAGGTACTGGAATCAAAATTCGGCCCGGGCTAGCGGTGGGGGTGAGGTTCGTTTGTACGGCGGTCGTCACGCTACTTCGTGTGATCGTTGACAGGGTGGAGGCAGGCGGACGGTGGCCATCACGTGCCTAAACATAGTCGACGAAGGAGGAGTGAGTGGGATGTACGGCGTACGTTACGCTTTAAAATTTAATAGCAGCCAGTGGGTGTGTGGCAGTCATGCGGTTCGCCCAGCCCGGAAATAGACCAGTAAAAGCACCACATTTACCGAAAATTCCAAATGGCCAGCACGCCACTGGTTGTCACCAAAGCTCTGCTTTCTGAATTTATCCCACATTAGGGTATTAAAGCTAGGTTGTTCAGCGACAATGGCTCATATTTTGTTAATGATGCAATCAGTCAGCTTTGCAATTACTTGAGCATTAACTTGAGAACTCACTGTGCCTACCTCCCAGGTAGTGCTAAGAGAAAATGACACACTCAAACAAAAATTTGCGAAATGTTCTGAAGAAACAAAATTACCATGGACAAAGGCCCTGCCCGGAGCACTAATGTGGAGATTGAGATGTGCTAAACTATCTTCGAAACTTGCCAGAATCAGAAAGGTGGTAGTCAACGGCCCCACTGAAGTCAGCAGAAGGCTTCCATCACCGGTTCCAACCAGATAACTGTGATCGTCAAGGACCTCACAAGGAAGAATTGGCACTTCCTCAGGTGGCAAGGCTTTTCCAGGTGTTGATGACCCACACTGCAGTTTAAGTTGTAGAAAGGGCCATTTGGACCCATGTCAGTCATTGCAGGGAGGTGCCAAGTCCAGTTGAGACAACCGACCAAAATACGCCTGCTGTAGATGGGGTGAAAGAAGCGCCCTTTTTCCGACAGGTGATCTGCCCGGTCACCAACTCATCTCGACGAAAGAAGCCCCTCATTAAAAAAGTCCCACTCAGATGACATCGTGCTGATCAACCAGCGAGCGCCTCATCAATTTCATCGAATTTTATGGTGGTCTTTGGCGGGTAATTGAAGAGCGAACAAAGACAAGGCCAACACATTCCTAACAGGGCACAAGAAACACTTCAGCTGTGAAATACAAATGTGCAACACTGTCTAATTCGTTGGAAAACCTCACTGTGTTAAGAAAAAGCTGGAGTTTTAATATTAGACTGCAGCTTTTCACAGAAACTTATGCTGATGTATCATCAATTGTGAAGGGGGATGAATTTGTTGTTTGATTGTTTTCTGACTTTTTATTTTCTTGATCATTGAATGATCAAAGCCTCCTAACATCTGCCTTTCGAAATGTCCATCCAGCCATCCATTTTCAACACAGCTAGCTTATCCTGAAGAGGGTCAAGGGGGTTGCTGGAGCTCAGCTGACTTTGGGCAAAAGGCCGACTAACTGGTAGCCAATCAGTCACAGGGTACATATAGAGACGAACAACCGTACACACCCACATTCACACCGTCACTGACTGGGAACCGATCCCTCGCTGCCCGCATACAAGTGAGGCGAGTGTACCACGACACCATCAGCAACACCTTCGAAATGTGCTAAGCACAACCTCTCCTTTGTCTGCGAGCTGATAGCCGCAATAAAACTGTCCCCTATGCTCTGCAAAACTTCAGGATAGCAAGGCGCTCATTTTATTGATGTATTAGGTTTCTGAGTTCAATCTGTGTTTGTCCTCGGCTTAGTATCTAGTCTTTGGGAGGGGGTTTCTCGCCTCTCGAATACTTTACAGAGACATTTATGATGCAAGTCTGAAAGAAAGAAGACAAGCGAGGGAAAGGCCATGGGCGTCGCCAACGATGTGAGCAGGCCTTTGCAATCTGGGGGTAAGATTGAGACCCTGGCCTGCGGCGTGTGAAGGCAGCAATGTGGTCAGGCTCAAGTGATCACAGCATTTTTAGTTGGACAACAGGGATATTGATCCTATACACAAGTCTCCAGATCAAATCAAACGGCATCAGTCACCAAAAGCAATGACTCAATGGTTGGCTAGGCTCATTACAAATTATGATAGCATCTGCCAAGATCATGGTAAGGTGTTTCCTTTATTGCTCTCTCCTGAATTAATCAGTCAGTCCTCCAATAATCAACGTTAACTACGTCTGAATTTCTACCACGTCCATTTTCTAATAAACGTATCCATTAAAATGTAAATTGGAGCCACCCTTGGGTCTCTATTCCAAGCGGTTTATCTCATGAAGCATATTTTCAATGAACGCTTCACAAATCCATACTAAGGCGTTTAAAAAAAAAGGCCAGACTATCAGAGCCATGTTCCCTTTGGAATATGAGACGCATATCATTCAACCAGGCCGTTCACGCTGTTTCTTAAACCCTCTGCCTCCGATATATGGTGATACCTTTGGAGAATATTTCCGCGTTTGACAGCCAAAAGAACGTGTGACAGACATTGTTGACAATTGCCACGTTTTGAATGTTTCTACAAATATCTTCCCTCGGGTCATGATGCACATGGATTGTAATGTTAGCTCAGTTAACTGCTTGTCCAGGAGGAGATGTCTTTAACTTGAAGCATTTCAATTTTTCCAAACAGCTTTGCCCCAAAGGGCCTTAGTGGCATCTTGTAGACAGTACTGAAGTGATATGCAGAAGTCCTGCCTCTGGAGTATTTCCTGTAAAGTCAAAATAGGATTTCATTATTTTTGGTGGTGGGATACTATTGATTAATTGATCATGATATATCGACAACATTACATCCACATACTGACCGTAATGATACAGTTCAGCTTGACCTCTGACCTGTCTTCTGCTGCCTCTGACGTGGTCTAGCGGACCAATTTTGACCTTGACGTTGTTATCGGGAAAAGAGGACTTTCTGAAATGTTGGACACTTGCACTTTTATTCATAACAAACCAGGAAAAAATGTTTCTGTCAATAATTCCCTGTTCAAAAATGAAAAAGCTGTGTTCAGCTTTTATTAGCAGAGAACTTTGCAGTTGACAGCAGCTGTATCTCACTCATTGTGTGATCCAACTGCAGCTGTTCGCGTTTTTTCACCCAAAAAATAACTGGCAGCAAAAGGGACAGCTTTGTGACTTTATGGTTTAAATGTGGCAACATTATGACCGTTTTGGTCTCATTTTTGTACATCAGAATATGGAAGGCTAAGTTCATATTGGAACATCACTTCACTGTGTTGGCAAAGGTGATCAAAAGCTTTTATTTGTGTCAATATTTAATTCCCTCCTCGCTGTTCCTGCAGCTCGGCTTGTCCAACTTCTGAAATCTTGCAAAAATTTGTCCTTTAATTATTTGTAGAGAGCTTCTGTTTAATAAATCCGAAATGTCTCGAGCATTTAATCACAAAGTCCAATCTAACACGAACCTGAGGCACTGCAGTAAACTTCCACTTGATTGGTTATTGATTGATTTAGTAAATTTACTGTGGGTGCAGTCTTTCATCCACGCACGCATTCTCTGTGCCGCTGATCCTCACTAGGGTTGCAGGTGTGCTGGTTGGACTCCAGCACACCTGCAACCCTAGTGACTTTGGGCGAGAGGCAGGGTACACCCTGAACTTGTTGACAGCCAATCAATCACAGGACACATATAGACAAAAAAAGAAAAAAAAATCACACTCACATTCACACTTATGGACAATTTTAGCAGTGAAGGCCCACAGGTGGCCCGTTCCTACACTTGTAACAGCCCTCAATTAATTTTTGAAATAAAAAAAGTATTTACTGTACCCCAGCCGTTTTACAATGTAATTACAGTGTTTACCAGGAGATGGTAGTGCAATTCCAACCTCAAGACTGTACTTCTCTAGCAGGGAAGACGAAAGAGCAGGTCCTGCAATGATCCGAGCACCAAATGAGGTCAAGAAAAATGGTGTTATTCAGGTGAAACAGGAAGCAGGTTACAGTGTAATGTATGCTCACTAAATTTAAAGAGAAACCGATCTGCCTCATTTGTTTCGAGGTGCGATCAGTCATGACACAACAGCATAATCCCGACAGTACACAAGCAACGATTTTGGTTTTCACAAAAAACGTTGACAGTTCATTTGCAGTGAATTGTACTGTCCTGTACCCGTGAACACAATGAAATTAAAGATACACATTTTTTCAGATCAGTGTTCACTTTCACATTCGTTCAGCTTTTTTTTAAGACCATAATGTTTAACTGACTTGATTCATGGATTAAACATCTGTTGAGAAATTTTCCATTCAAAAAGCACTGACACATGAAACAGTTAGATCATACGTTCAGACGGCCCGGTGGTCCAGTGGTTAGCGCGTCGACCTCACAGTGCAGGGGTCATGGGTTTGATACCAGCTCCAGCTTCCCTGTGTGGAGTCTGCATGTTCTCCCCGTGCCTGCGTGGGTTATCTCCGGCTGCTCCGGTTTCCTCCTACATTCCAAAAATATGCGTGACAGGTTAATCTAACATTCTAAATTGTCCCATGGTATTATTTTTAAGTGCGGATGGTTGTTCGTCTGTGTGTGCCCTGCGATTGGCTGGCAACCGTTTCAGGGTGTCCCCGCCTACTGCCCGAAGAGAGCTGGGATAGGCTCCAGCACCTCCGTGACCTTGTGAGGATAAAGCAGATCAGAAAATGGATGGATGGATGGATATTACCTTCACCTGGAATAGTTAATATAGAATAGAATAGAATAGAATATTCCTCCTAACTGTGGAACTGAGTGAGTACCCACAGCTCTATTGTTCTTGAATTGTTGAGCTCTACTACTTGCTCACTCTGCACGAGTGACCTTCCTCAACAAAAGAGAATGGGCACAAACCTAATAATCACAAAGTCCCAGTTTAGAATGTGGCAATGCCACCCGAAAAAAAAAAAGTCTACTCCTCACAGATTGACAACAAATGGTTTAATTGCTGGAATTGCCGTACATCGCTTTTGTTGGACAACAGTGGCCTCTGTTGGTGCAAACAAAAAACTGAGTGCATGTTTGTGGGACTCGAGATGAACATTTCTTTCTGATTCCTCATTTTTACTTTTCAAATTCTTTTATACTTTCATAACGTTCAACATTTAAAACATTTTAGTGGCGCAAAAGCAGCTACGTCACCTGAAATGAGACAACATAAATCAATTCCTAATCTCTCGACGGACAACGGTACAGCCTCTTGATGAGAAACAAAGATGAGAACAGTTTTGTGTGGCTTCACAATATTGTCTGTTCCTTGCAGTTTTATTTGATGGATCATTCCATCATTATTGTCAGACCACATTTTGCTGTTTGCATAAACTACCGCTCTCCAGAATACAACGGTACAAACACACACACTGCACAGCAATTCCTGTTTGTAATATTGTACTGTTCTAGGTTTGACACATTTTAATGTATTTTGGTTTTTTCAAACATATATTATCTGCACAAATACAACAATTGTGTTATGTGTGATATCCCACGATAGTACAAAATACATGTATAGTATTGAGATATTTGCATCCCGAACACAGTTTTGCACTTTCCAACATACGGTAAGATCAACGTGCGAAGAACATTTGTCATTTGTCAAACGGGTGAAAGTCATTGATGAACTTCCCTACGAGGTAGAAAAACTACAATTTATTTTCCAGATGAAATAAACAGGATAAGACAATTCTGGTAATTCTTCAACACTTTGAGCTCTGTTTTATATGTTGTTTTCCATTAACGGTGCTGAAAGAAGCATTTAAAGAAAACTTGAGAGAATCACTTGTCGCAATTACCCTTTGCGACAATTTTTCCTTTAACCAATTGTGATACATTGGTCTCAATTTCCGCCAATGTGTATGACTTTTAGACAAAAGCAAGCCTGTATGTCATCAACAAAGCCTTTGGAAATCTTGGAACATTCGCACCTTCTTGACAAGTGGATGTTTTTCATTATCTGGTGTTTGAAATTGCACTGCAAAATTCATTTTAAAACCACTTCAATAAATACTTCCAATATTTTATAGAGTTAACCGACCAGACAATTTAGAATTACCACCTTTCAATGGTCATGCTGAAGAATGCTGTAAGACAGAAAAATCGAAGTAAGATGCCCAGGGAAGCAGAGGAAGAGGCCTCTTCACCACAACAGGCCCATTCAGAGTCTGAACCATGACAGGTTTAAAGTAATGGCCCTTTCAACAAAATGTGTTGAAATCTCCATTTCTTGATGAATGTGTAATCCCAGACCTCTTGCATAATTTTCCATGTAATTGGTATTGAATTCTGTGGGGGAAACAACCAGTAGCTTAGCGCCATGCCAAGAATGCTTGAATAATGACACAATGATGCAGCCTTGAAGGGGACATTTTACGGAAAATTGGCTTTTTAAATATGGAGTGATTGCCCTCCCGTGAAGTGTAGATTTACACCATCAAGTACCGTATTTTCCATTTGAGGCCCTTCGGAGTATAAAGCACACCTTTAATGAATGGCCTATTTTAAAACTGTTTTCATATGGAGGGCTCACAGCATTATAAGATGTAAGATGTAGAATAGAAGTCACAATAGTGGCTGTGGTTGCGTTATGCATCCATTGGATGGAGCAACACTAAACGGAATACAATACAATGCAGCTTTATTTATATAGAGCTTTCACAACCGCTGCAGCTGTAACAAAACGCTTTTCAGAACATTTAAAATACTACGTCGAAGAAATCCGAATATTGATCCATATATAAGGCGCATCGAACTGTAAAGCGCACTGTCGGCTTTTGACAAAAAATTTAATTCGCGCCTTATCGTGCGGAAAATACGGTAAATCTTATTTGGCTGAGCATTTCCGGTGGAGCACAAGCGAAAAAAGTGAAAATCTGCATATAAATTTGTTTATTATTTAATATTTTTTAAAATCTGCAAATAGGTGTAACCAAGGGTACCCAACGCGAGTATGCGGGGGTCCACAGTAGAATGAATCCATGCAACTCGCAGCAGATAACAAAATGCAGGTCATCAATTCTCATCTTGGGCATTGGCACCACACAAGAAAATAATATTATGTAATCGACAAAAATAAGCTACTCTATTTTGTTTGTCCGAACAGACTTATTATTGCACTGACTGCCTTTTGCAATAATTTTACTGTATTGCTAATGTACCCTTAATTAGACTCTGATTTAAAAGTCTATACCTGTGGAACATCCATTTATTAATGCCTGTTTTTATGTACAACTGGCAAATTTGGGTTTTCGTGTGTCGTCCCTGGGCTATTTTGACATGTTTCACTTTGACAGGGCATATTTGATTTGTCAGTCCACACTGCAGTTGCAATGACAGAGTTCCTTGAAAGAGGACTATATCCGATTTACTAAATGATGAATGCCGGAGGATAGCGCTACCACTGTTTGTCATTTACTTATGATGTTACATGGCTCTACAATATGTCATGTCAGGGTGACAAATAAAGGATGACACGTAAGAGAATGAACTTTTCTAACAAATACTGTCGACATCTAGTCAGAAGAGATTGAAAACTGCGAAGATGATTAGCAATCAAGCACAGAAAAGCGGAGATGCCACCGGTACGTCGTGAACGTCTTATTTCCTTGATCATCACTATTATGTCTCTGGCCTTCTGTTTGTCGAGGTCAAGTGAGTTCAATCCTTTGATTTTTATCTCATCAGGAGCATACAAGGCAGTCCCACCTCCTGCTTCATTAGGGAAAGCTCCAACTGCACGAGCTAGTTTAAAGAAGTCTGCGACCAAGGAGTCCAGTTCTGAGAGCTCAGGTCGCAAATACTGCAGCTCGTCTGTCGCATTGGTTGGAGAGTTTCCTTGTATTCTTCGATAACAATCTTGTCCTCTCAGATCCAAGCTCAGATGAAGGGACCAAAAAGACAGCAGCCAAGGTCGAACCAGCTAATGTGACACATCAAGACTCCACTAGCTCAGGCAAGAGATGTCAAATGTTGACTTGTTTAGTCATGTCATGAAACTCTTTCGGCATGGCCTCAAAGACTAATATTCTTCCACAAACGTACATTAGTATACACGTGGGGTCAGCAGCGTGGTGCCCGTAGGGCACCAGGTCGGGCCCGAGGAGCCTGTGAGTTTAAAAATAGCTTACCAGTGATGAGCCAGATGGAGAATGCTTTAGACGTGATCATTTGAAAATGCAAACACTGGCAGAGATTTATAGGAATGCAGTGTTGCATGTTGATATTTATCCAGGTATACATTAATTGTTAATAATAACATCATAAAAACCGTAAGGTAATTTTAAGAATTTTTTTTTTATGACAAAAATGTTTATCAAATTGCTCTTCGCATTAATCCGTACCCAAAAAGTAGTTCCCAGTTTGTAAAAGGTTGTTGACCCCAAGGCATGCAATCTAGTGTTTTTTTTAACAGTAGTGTTCTTCATCATGCATTCAGACAGCAGCTCAGAAGATGAAGCTCCGGGAATGCCTGCTACCAAAGCCGCTACTACACCTTCAACACGGTTTCTTGCTTCACCGTCACCAGCCAAAGGCGAGCCAATAGCAGCAAAGGCTGCAGTTCCTGCGGTGAAGCCCGCCGTCGCCGTTGCGGCGGCTGCAGAAAGCAGCTCAGACTCTGGTTCCTCATCTGACAATGAATCAGTGAAAGCAAAGCCAGCAACGCAAAAACCTGCCACCCCAGCCTTCAAGCCTGCAACCCGTGCTATCAGGTTTGCTGCGACAGTATTCAAAAGCAGTTCCGATTCAGATCCTTCATCTGAGGATGAGGAACCTGCAAAAAGCAAGACACCAACAACCAAACCTGTCGCACCCATCGCAATGGCTGCTGTTGCTCGAGCGAAGACTGGCATTTATGCAAAGACTGCTGCAGCAGAAAGCAGCTCAAGCTCAGACTCTGACTCCTCATCTGATTGAATTGGAAGCAGGTTTAAAAAAAAAGTTTGAATTTTGGATTCTGGTAGAGAATTGAGCAAAAAAAAAGATCACTGTGGGCGGTGTTGCAATTGACTGACATTCCCTCACTTCCTGTGAAATAAAAAACAGAAACTAACTTGTATCTGATACAAAATTGGTATTGTTATCTTTTAATACACACATATATCGATGAGATCACTAATAACTGCACACAAACAAACATGTCAACATCAGTGTTCATATTTTTTTCATATATTTTTAAAGTGCACTGACATGAGCACAAACCATTAGAGGATTAGTTGTTTTTATGACCCCAAAATGATTACAAGGGCAAATTCCTCTCTTCCCTCCACTATGTGTAGAAAATTAGATTGCTCCTAACATGAGATTGTTGCTAACATGAGGCTCACAGGTGGTGTTGGTACTATTCATAGAAATAGTTTTTTATGTAAAAAAAAAAATAGTTCCAAGTATGGTCAGCGAAGTCACAGATGAGAAGTCACAGATGACAACAACAATATATTTAAGTTGGCAACACCGAAACCAAGTCACTGCTCTTGTTCGCCTGCACGGCTGACACACGTGCACTTCAAAATAAAAGCAGAGGCTACTTGACATTGTAGTTTGACTTTCTAAAGGCTGCAGAAATTCTGGACAGGCTGGATGTGACCTGTGAAGCCCGACTCTTCTCATATGTGCTGTAAATCTTTACACTCATTCATGAGGTCAGTCGGGTTGGGAAAAAAAAAATAAGCACCAAACAACCTCGGGTGCCCATCTGAGAACCACATCAACATTTCGACATGTAACACCAAATATGAAATGTTATTCACTTTACGTTAATTGAATGTCTGTTCCAAAACTTTTGCTGACTTGAAACAATAGCCCTGTTCACACGGCAAGATTTACTCCGACGCTGCACCGAAGTATTTTGATGCGATATATTTTACACCGCAACAAATTTCGTGGAGCGTTCACACGTACAAGCCGCTGAGCGACGCTGCACCGACGTAGTGCCGAAGTAACTCCACTTGCGGTCACACGGGGCAGTATTTTGTTTCGCAGTAAAACATGCGCATGCGTAAAGAAAGAAGAAGGCGGGGAAAGGAAGTAC